AAACAAGAAGGAAAGACATCAAAGAATTGATATCACATGGGAGGGACTCGTTCTTTACGGGTGCGTTCACTTAAGGAAAAGTTGATCGGCGGGGCGAGCGATCGAGCGAGCGATCGAGCGAGCGAGCGGCGCGCGGCGCGGTATTTAGCGCTCGCAGACGCATTTCAGGCACCTAAGTTAACAAAACTATACATTTTCGGAAAGAGGAAGACTTGAGGAACAGACTGGTGAAATTTGTTTGACATTTTGAGTCTCGGCACTGAAACGACAAGCTGAGGAAAGTCGTGATGTTGCCTAACGTGAGATGGGCAGGTTTAACCCTTCTTAAGTCATAAATGGAGGTGAGCTAGACCCCATCATACAGCGAGCCGATTTTCCGCAAGACTCTAAGCTTTCGATTCCACCCCTCAGAATGTTCAAACCATTTCTAGTTCTCGCAGGGGAGCGGTTACACTGACACGCAGTCAAAGCTGTTATGGCCGTGTGCCGGCCGCGCGGAGCACGGCAGCATAAAACCGTTTGGTTTTCAAAAACTAGAAATGGTTTGAACATTCTGAGGGGTGGAATCGAAAGCTTAGAGTCTTGCGGAAAATCGGCTCGCTGAATGTTGGGGTCTAGCTCACTTCCATTTATGACTTAAGAAGGGTTAAACCTGCCCATCTCACGTTAGGCAACATCACGACTTTCCTAAGCTTGTCGTTTCAGTGCCGAGACTCAAAATGTCAAACAAATTTCACCAGTCTGTTCCTCAAGTCTTCCTCTTTCCGAAAATGTATAGTTTTGTTAACTTAGGTGCCTGAAATGCATCTGCGAGCGCTAAATACCGCGCCGCGAGCCGCTCGCTCGCTCGATCGCTCGCTCGATCGCTCGCCCCGCCGATCAACTTTTCCTTAAGTGAACGCACCCTACAAAGCTAGATTGATGTGTCAGTCGCTGATCGTTACATGAATTGTCCTCTGACGATTTCAGGCCGCCACCAGCCACCACCGCCACGCAAGTGACGTCATTCTGGCTCCCGAGTTTTCGCCTTCGGCCCGGTTCCTGACAATAGCATGGTTCAATAAAATTTCATACCAAAGACTAGTATGCATGGGTGTCATCATATTTCGTTATTATGTTAGTGTTTCCATAAATGGTGCTTTCGTTTCAGATAGGTGTAAGTTGGCGAAGAAAAGGACAGGGTAAGAAAATTACCCCTCTGTGGCCTATTGTAGAGATCTCAATATCCATTTGACATGGATTTCACAGTCAAATTTTCATGATTAGTTTTAATAACTCGTTGAGGGATGGCTCAAAGTTAAGATATCAGCTCCTGGAGAGTGTACTTTTCTTCCCAAACTTACACTCTTCGTTGCTCCAAGTAATTTATTTTGTGAAATTCGTAGTCATTTTTCGTCATTCTATGTGGTTTAATTCCTTCGCATGCGCAACAGGTATTTCATGATTAGCATCACAATTGACTATTGTGTTTATTTTGCTGTGGCTGTGGTTTCGTTCTAATTACTAATTTTTGTGTGAATTTGTGTTTTAAAAACATGAATTGCATATATTTTATGTTTAGAAGTTTCAGCTTTCTCTGTCGAACAGGTCTTGACTTCCGCTCTTTGCAGCCCCAGTCTCCAAGGATCTCAATCGTCATTATCTTTTCTTCATAAGAAACACATTTCTTCTCTTTCTGCGTTTCTTTTATAATAAATAAAAAAAGGTTGGACCTTGTTATGTGATGCGTTATTTAATCAACAACCTACTCCCATAACCACCCTCAACCATCAACTTAAGACAGAGAACTCGATTCAGATAATAATTTTCAATGGTGGCAAGTGATTAAATTAGATAATCAGCATAAAATAATAATTCTGGAACAACCCTTTTCTGTTGTTAACGTTTCATAAGGCTCCCTTCAACTCTCTGACGACCTTTGGCGGCTGAGCCCTCAAGCATAAAAGTTGGAACCAAATGCTCCTTTGACGTGCGATCAGGTCTCTTTGAGCGGTGGTGTGTGGCGAGTGTGTCTGCCGAAGGCAAGTCAGCGCCGCAGGCCAAGGTAGGTGTAAACGCCAGGCGTGGGTTGTCGGAACTGGCGCAGCATCGCGAAAGCCTGTTACGACAAGCCACTGTCTGACGTACACCTACCTCGATTGTAAATGTTAAAGCTTTCACAGCCAAAATTATACCTCCCGTTTGGATCCAACAATCCTAGGTGGGATTCCAACGATTGACCGCCTGAATGGGACCTGACCTGCGTAACCCATCCTAACTTAACGCAACCAAACACAACCATACCTTACGTAAACTTGCGGAGTCAAAAGAAGTACTTCCAAACTCAAACCTGTTTGAGAGTGTGTCCTAAAGATCCTGCACACTTTCATAGGCAGTGGTGACTGTGTTGATCCAGATTATTCTCCGGTCGAAGCGTAGGAGAGCCCATCCGCTCCTTTCCTCCTATTCAAATCCATGCGTGAATTGCCATGAAGCGTAGCTGTGCACTTACAGGACGGCGTACAGTACAGTCTTTAAGCCTAGTTGTACACTGCATTGTAAATAGCCAGCCATCAACGAAGGAGGGGACGGTTCGGCAGGTCTGCGGGGCATCCTGGCACGGGCCTTTAACTTTGTTGTCTAGGCGTCACCGAACGCTGTCTTGTAAAGGCCATGTCTTGCAAAGGGCAACCGCTCGGACGACCTTGCATTGAAAATGAACCGGCGTAACTTGATTCAAATACAGGCGCCCAGTAAAACTGTCAATGAAAAATAAAAAACAAACAAAAAATCTCATTCGACGAACGTTAATGAAAGCAGATGATACTCGTTTGGTTTTCTTCTACGGGGTAGTATGGGCTCATTCCAAAGGTAGTATTCAATAGTTTTAGGTGTATGCTTTAAAGCAAAGGTATCATCTGCTGAAAACTGAGTCCTTTGTGCCGTGGCCTGCACCGCCACCGCGCCGTGCCCGTTGCATTGCGAGCACGCGGTGCATCTGCGCTGTAGCGGGGAGGGATTGTCAATGTTGCGCGCAGGCCCGGCCGCACTGGTAGCCAACGAATGTGACATCACATTCGTTTGAACGTGAAAACTACGATGTCAGATTGATCGTGACAAACAGAGAAAATTCATACTCAAACGAATGTGACACGCCACACCGCTTTGTCACATTACTTCGGGTGTGACACGAAATCAGCAGGCAAACTGTCACATTAAAACGAATGTGACACATGGTACCCATTGACATACATCGTGTCACATCCAAACGAATGTGACACCCATATGCTGTCACGTTCGTTTGAATGTGACATGCCCTAATTGTCACATTAAAACGAACGTGACACGCCCCGGACACGCCATAAGTGTCAGGTTATGGCGTGTCACGTTCAATTGAATGTGACAATTCGGGCATGTCACATTCAAAGGAACGTGACAGCGTATGGGTGTCACATTCGTTTGGATGTGACACGATGTATGTCAATGGGTACCATGTGTCACATTCGTTTTAATGTGACAGTTTGCCTGCTGATTTCGTGTCACACCCGAAGTAATGTGACAAAGCGGTGCGGCATGTCACATTCGTTTGAGTATGAATTTTCTCTGTTTGTCACGTTCAATCTGACATCGTAGTTTTCACGTTCAAAGGAATGTGATGTCACATTCGTTGGCTACCAGTGTATGTTTTTAAGTTAAGGTATCATCAGCTAAAGAACTGGCCTGACAAAATCAGCGTGACGCAGAAGTCACGCCAAAGTGAAGTGCCACTTCTTTGTCATGCCAATATTTGGCGCGACCTTACCCACGATTATCATTAGTAGCACCAATCTGCATTTGAAAGGCACGGCTTGAATCACAAGTCGTGGCGTTTCTCCATTTCAAATCCAAAGGCGTGCCTTCCTAGCGAAACGATTTGGACTCGCCTACAGGTGTTCTTTCCCATAAACGGCGAATTTGTTGCTGATGATTTTTCTGACCTAGTCCGCTCCACAACAATTTTTTGGTGTGTACAGACAAGCCGCAGACAATATAAATGGTGACTGCTGCGGTTCACCGGAACTTTACTACGTCTCTGAGATAATCGCACTGTAAAAAATTCCGTACTTTAGTACGGAAATGGTACAGAAATTATAGTACGGAGGTACGGAGAAAAGTACGGAACGTTCCGTAGTTGGCAAGTACGGACGGTCCAGGCATAATATTGATCAGACAAGTTCCGTACTTTTTTCTCACAGTGCAGCAATCAAAAGTGATGCTCATGAGGCTGCCTACAGGTTTAACCATCTTGATGGCGAAGAATGTAAGACATCAGTTAACAACTGAGGTCATCTGTAAGCAATTTAAATCATACGGAGAATGAGCAACATATTTACTGCTAAGCCTATTTTTGACAGTGTGTTCGAACGATGTGATGTGGGCGTTTCGGCCTACAGAATCTCGTCTGAAGCGCCAGCAACTTCTTTTGAAGTTTGGTCTTTTGAGACAGGTAAGAGAGCGAGCGGGAGCAATACTGGCATCTTTCGATCCTTTAATCTCTTTTGGTTTGGACCTGTGTCACACGGTCAAACTTCGTGAAATTCACTTGCCTTACAAAATGATTAGTTAAACGGGAAAGCCCGGATAAGATCTTTCGAATAGGTCCCCTCGAATTGACTCTAAGCGCTTAGATTCTCAGTCTGTACGTCCATTTCATACACAGTTCAAGGCCCCTCGCACAGTGGGCCAGAAGACCGGTAGAGGCGGCCAAAACTCTATACGCGTTTTGAGCTTCAGAGACGTCAAATGAAACTCGAACCGAACGTGTGACCCCACCAATGGATAACTCTCTGAACGAGGAATCCATTGATGGGGTCACACGTTCGGTTCGAGTCCCATTCAGCGACTCTGGAGCTCAAAACGTCTTCAGTTTTATCCACCTCCACCGGTCTTCTGGCCCACTGTGCCTCGGAGCATAGTAATGAGCGCCGGAAGGCCCGGCACTTCGGCAGTGCATGCCGAGGTTACTTAAACTCGCGCGCAGCTCTGCCGCATTCACAAGTGACCCGACGCCTGGCCGGGACGGTCCCCCGTTTCGGCTCGACCGGCACCTGCCTGCCGCGAACCGAACGAGACTCGGGATTATTTGCATCGTGAGTACACTGTCATCCAGACTGCAATACCCTCATAATAAATGTCACAGGACATTTCGGGGGCAGGACAGCCTGTCTCGAGGAACTCGTCCTACGTCCTATTCGACCCGAACCTATCTCGTCCAGGGATAGTTTTCCAACTCGTCGCGGACTGTTCCGACAACCCACACTCTACCAAAAATGTCCTGTAAATGCCGTTAATTTATTACCAGTTTTTACTGTAGGTCAATTCACAGCGTTTACTGTGATCTGCTCACGGGATTCACTGTGATCTTGTTCACGGTGTTCACTGTGATCTGGTCCCCAGTAAACACTGTGAGTTTGACGCCACAGAGCACCGAAGTACTGCCAATCAGGCTCCAATTCACGGCGTTTACTGTGGCCAGATCACAGTGAACACTGTGACCGAGATCACAGTGAACGCCGTGAACTAGTTCACAACAAACGCCGTGAACTGCATAACAGCAAACATTGGTAATAAATTAACGGCGTTGACGGGACATTTTTTGTAGAGTGCACGCCTGGCGTTTACCTTGGCTTGCGGCGCTGACCTGCCTTCTTCAGCAGGCACAAATCGACGTGATCGCAAATCGAAACAGCGTTCGGGTTCTTCAGTTAGGCTAGGGGGCTCGGCCTCCCAGACCCCCCCCCTTTTTTTTCCAAGTTCAGAGTGACGCAGTGACGGATCCAGATGCGGCCTATGGGGGGGGGGAGCAAAGTAGCACTTTTTGCCTACTATTAGGGGAAAAGTAGCACTCTTTGCCTACCTTTAAGGCAGCTATTTAAAGGCTGTTACCCCCCCCCCCCCCGTGTCTGCGCCTGTTGTGACGGGGTTCGCTACTGATCTAACTGCAAGACAAATTAGGGTTAGCACCCTCGAAAACGTACGTCATAATACAAACTTCGGAGTAGAAATTCTGGCTTTAATATGACCGATTGAGATTTGAACACGGACCACTGTGGGGAAATATCACAAAAAATCCTGTAGTGATTAGTACAGCTGTCACTGTAGTTAGGAGTACAGGATTTACTGTACTTTTTAAACAGGATCTACTGTACTTTGTACGTGATTTACTGTACCACAGGAGTGGAGTACGGAATATCCTGTACCGGGTACAGTAGATACTGTAGCCAGGCACGGTAATTCCTGTGTTCTGAACTACAGTAAATCCCGGCAAAAAAAATTAACGGGATTCACTGTGGTTTTTTCGCACAGTGACCCCCGTCGTTCGTTTTTTGGGGCAATTTTAGGCTCATTCAGTCAGATGCTCTTTACCAATTGCAAAAAAAATTGAAAACTTCGGCTGCACCACGTATAATTTTGCAGACCTGTTCTACGTGCTTTATGTCCCTCCCTAACATAATGCTGAAACATCGAGGGCGGAACAGCTTCCCACATTCATTGTACGAACTTCGACCACATTCCACATTCAGGTGGCCAAAACGCCTTTAAGTAGCAACATGTGAGGCAAAAACACCAGAAATCTTGCACATTCACACAATCATTGTACACAAAATTTTACAGTGGGTCAGCCCTCGTAAAACGTAATATTTTACTTTTGGAATTCTTACTAAAAGTTTGTACTTGAACATTGAACATAGTCACTGCAGTGTGTCTCTAGCATTCATGCTTTCTTAAAACCTTACGAAGTATTTTGAGCATACATATAACAAACTAAAATACTCTGTTATACGAAGAAACAGTTCGTAAATTACGAAGTATTTTCTTTGTAAGCTTACGTATGCTCAAAATACTTTGTTATACAATCTACTTTTCTAAGGTCCATAATAGTTTTTAAGGTTTTCTCAGTGTGGAAATTTTATTTTAATTGAATAAAATTGTGCACGAAGTGCTACTGCCCCTGTAACTTCCGTGCTTCTCCGAAGTGCCATCACTGAGAATGAAAAAGTCATGATCAATACCCAATTTTGGGCGAGGTTTACTTTCTCACCCAAATTTGGGCGAGGAATGTTTCCTCGCCCAATTTGGGCGAGAAAAGTTTCCTCGCCCAATTTTGGGTGAGGAAGGGTGTATCAGCTCCCTATATAGCACCATAGTATTATGACCCAAATTTGGGTGAGGAAACCTTCCTCACCCAAATTTGGGCGAGGAAAATTTCCTCACCCAAATTTGGGTAATAAAGAATTCCTCACCCAAAATTTTAGTCAGGATCATGACTCTTTCATTCTCAGTGATTTTGACGTGTTGCAGCGTTGCAGCTCCACAATGAGCGCGACGCCCGATGGAAGAGGGATGTCCGTCGTGGGCCTGTGTTGCGCGGCTGTGGCGGCCTTGCTGGCAGTGTCCTGGGCCTGGCCGTGGCTGCGCCGCTACGCCCGCTTCCGCCAGATGGAGATGGCCATACCGGGGCCACTGTCCCTGCCTCTGCTGGGCAGTGTGCACGTCTTCTTTTTCGGCGACCGGAAAAAGACTCTGCTCCAGCGGATATTGGCGTACCTGGAAGAGTGCCGCGGCGAGCTGAGCCGCATCTCAATCGGCAACAAGCTCTTTGTGTTCGTCACGGATGCGGACCATCTTGGCGCAGTGAGTCGCTCTAATGTGGACGTTAGGCCTTAAAAGTAAGAACAATTGCCGTCAAAGTTACAATATTTATTTTATTTCCGATGCACTGGTAAAATTAAAGCGCACTCTATTCTTGAGTCATGCATAGAGTTACGCTTGAATACTCGGAAAATTCCCCCTCGCGTTTAGATAGGGGAAATCTTGGCCAGTGAGCCTGTTGCGCTTGATTTCAAGCATAACCCGATTACGTAAAACTCGTTCCCGTACATCACAGCAATATAGACTCTACGCAGACCTCATTTCCACTTGAATTGTCACCAAATTCCACGTCGTTTGGGAGAGCTAAGTAAACATGGTCCCTGCGTCCATTTTACCGTAAAGATTTAGTGCTAAATCACAAAAACCGTCTAGCAATGGTTACACTTTTGAAAATTTTCAGTTATTTCTACGGCTTTTTTTGTCAAATGCAATTGCATCACTCATCTGATTGGATTCAAGCTCACCCCGCAAACAGTTTTCTGTTTCTCCTGAAGAAAAAAAAAGATGAAAATTCTTTTATCCCCTTTTTTCCGCTTCATGGATCAAGTATCGCAAAGTGAATGACGGTTAACTTCTACCTGACGAGCACGCTGCACTGCTGTCTCGCAGGTGCTGCGGGACCGGCAGTTCGTCGACAAGCCTTGGTTCGCCTACTCCTTCATCAAGGGCCTCTTGGGTGACGGCATCTTCACGGCGAACGGCGCCACATGGCAGCGGGACCGCGCTACGGTGACGCCCACGTTCCACCTCGAGGTGCTGGAGGGCTACTTTGACGCGTTCCACGAGGAGGCGCAGGGGTTGGCTCGCCGCATCGCGCCCATGGTGGGGCGGGACGCCAAGGTCGCCCACGAGGTGTTCACGGCCACGTGCCTTGCCGCGATTCGAACCACACTGGCCTCCAGCCTTGACGGCCACGACCTCCAGGAGCTGGACGTGAGTTTGCACACGGCAAAAACGGTTCCTGGTTTTTCCAGGAACTCCCAGGAAATCGCCTACACGCTCAGACTCGTATTGACTTTTTGTCCTTCGTTAACGTAGTTTCTTAAGCAGTAATGATAAGTAGTATTTCCTTTGTAACCATGTACAGTTTTATTCGCTATAAAGACTAAATTGTCATCAATTATTGACCTTTTTCTCAAGTCAATTTTGAATTGACTCTTTGTCAATAGCAAATTGACTTCAAGTCAATGTAACGAACAAAATCTTCCATAGATATTGAGGAAATAGTACTTTTTATTGCTGTGTAAAAAAAACTTCTTAACAAAGAGCAAAAAGTCAATAGCAGTCTGAGAGTGTATACTTTACCTAAAGGCTTCCTGGGAAAACCAGGATCCGTTTCTGCCGTGCATTATGGCATTCCATAGGTCACTGTCTGGGATAAAATGTTAAGGGTGCATTTGGGGAGCGTGCACGGTGAATGTTTTCATAAACATCAAAGTTTTGGTGTAGATGAACTTAACCTACAATGTTGGCGACTACCACCACGCCACTACATGTCTGGAAATAGGACCACTTCAATATTCTCAGCCTGCATTTCTCTGGGAAGTATTTTTATCGGCTAACCCCTTGCTCTCTGCAGGACCTGATAAGGGGTATAGAGCCTTACATGACGAACGTGAAGCGTCGCTGCTACAATCCCTTGCTTTGGCCGGACGCGGTTTTCAATTGGTCGTCTTTGGGCCGGAAGCAACGGCAACACGAAGACCAGTGGAACAAACTGATGGGCCGCATTATCAGTCGCAAGGCGACCGAAATCCAGTCCAAGAAGGAACAATATGACTTACAGTCAGCAAAAAAACTGGGCTACAAGGTAAGGTTCAGCTCACTGTTGGCAGAGGATTCAAAGTTCAGACTGAAGCAGGACTTTGCGGAGGGGTACTGTTCAGAACACGGTAAAAACTGTTCCCGGTTTTCTCAGGAACTCCCTGGAAATCGCCTATGTCTCTACCATTGGCTTCTCTGCAGTGGCGCCCACAGAAATTTCATTTAGGGGGAGCGACTGATATCCAGTCCCTTACAACTCCCTTTTTTCCCTTCTCTTCTTTTTCCTTTCCTTCTTTCCTTTAAAGAAATTTCTTCCCCTCTTGCTCTACAAATCGAAGAGTGTACATGGTATGCTCTAACTGGAGCATGCCTGCAAGCACGTCTTGCTACGCATGCTGCCAGGCATCACTAAGTGCATACATGCCATTTACACGCTAATGAAGCATGCATCTAGTGCATAAGGGATAGGGAGTTGTCGCATAGAAGCGTGTACATGGCATGTATGCGCTAGTAAGTGCATGCTTGGCAGGCATGCGCTAGTTAGAGCGTGCTTGCAGGCATGCTCCAGTTAGAGCATACCATGTACACTCTTCGATTTGTAGAGTGTCCTTTTTCTCCCCTTTCCCTTTCTCTTTTCCCCTTCCCTTTCGCAGACCCTGCACCCACGTGTTGGCGCCTGTGCTTCCCTGGGAAAACCAGGTACCGTTTTTACCGTGAAGATCTTGTCTTACTGTTTCCGTATATAATGCTTATCTGGCCGTTTCCATACAAAGTTTTTTTTTTTTTTTTTTAAATCTAAAATGCAAGCAAATGTCGCTCATGCTAAGCACTTTTTCGAGACCGTCTGTCGCATTTGCAATGAATTTTCATCGTTATGGCGAAAGACTGCATCCTCGCGCCGAAGCTCGACAAAATTTTCTCGATGACACGTCATTTTCAAAACAGGTCAATAATTATTTTTTAGAGCTCGTTGTACAACGACGGCGTTTCGTCGAAAGCCGTAATTCCGGCGTTCTACGAAGAATTCTAAAAGACCATAAACCTATGATGACAACCTTTAAAACGTGTCTTCATTTTTTTTTTTAGGTAGAGTCTCAATTATTGTTAAAGAATCTTTGAACGCAAGATGAAATTTTAGCATTTCTTAATCAAGTGAAAGAGTGACTGTTCGATGCCATTGCCATCCAGTATCATGCTACCAGCACAAAGAGATAATTCAAAGTAACAAAATATGAATGTGAATATCCAAAACAACACATCTTTTAAAAAAAGCTAAATGGGTATTTTAAAAGATGTTTAACCGGACCTGACGTAACCTACACTCTAAAGTTGTCATGCCTTGAAACTGGGCGCCTTTGTCACTCACCCCACTCTTTCGAGCACCAAATGTAGGTATCAAATGTAGTTTCTGGGCACCTTCGTCGCAGTCTTGAGGTCCACAAATTATTAAGCAAGGCCCAGAATCTGGGCACCTTTGGCACCTTACGCGCTGCTGAGCCATGGGTGAAGGCGGGTTCGTTACACGGTAAAAACTGTTCCTGGAACACGCTGAAATTGCTTGCGTCCTCACCATAGGGTTCCTGGGAAAACCATAGGTTTTGTTTTCACCGTCCCCGAGAAAAGGCGACATATGTAGGTGCCCAGAAACTGGGTGACATTTGGCACGCTACACAGTGGGGCGGGCCACAAAGGCGCCCAGTTTCAGGGCATGCCAAATCTTAGAGTGCAGATGTAAGGCAAGGTAAGTGTTCTTACTCGGAAACGACCAGGTCAGATCTTCATCTGAAAACGATAAGATGTTTTGAATTCGACCCCTCGAGCTCTCAGCCGATTGGTTCCGCGTTCAACGCCACGCGATACTTAGTCAATGAGAACTGGACGAACTTTTGGCTTGGTCTTAGGAGTTCAAGTGCGTGTTGGACATCGTCCTGGAGGGCACGATCAGCGGCGAGATGGACTTGACGGAGGACGAAATCCTGACCGCCACCAAAACCATGTTCGGCACAGCCATCGACAGTCCCGTCATCGTTCTGGGCTTCGTCTTCAAGATTCTGTCCATCCGGCCGGACGTGCAGGAGCGAGTCTACGCGGAAATAAACGAAATCACACAGGGCAGCGACCGGCCTTTGACTATTGACGACTTACCAAGGTGGGACTTCCATGATATGGTTAGTTTTCACAAAACACACCAAATAGCTGTGAACATTTTTGTCACCGGTTGCCGAACGATTTTGTATCCATTGCGCAAACGTTTTTATACGTCATCAAATGGCCGGCAAACCATGAACAAATTTGGCCACAGACTTTTTGGAAGCGTTATTGTACACAGATTAAGTGATAAATTTTTCACAGATGTGGTCAAATATGTCCGTGACGAAGTTCACAAGAAAGTTCATGACAAATGTCTGTAGAAAATGAAACAACTATGTCCGTCACCCGCAGACATATTTTATCCCCTATGTCTGAAGGCAAAGTGATGTGTCCTACCCATAGACGCATTTGTGATCAGCTGTTCTTTGTATTGTTCTTTGTATTCTTTGTACGTTTGGTAACGCTTTAAAACGTTTTTACCTTGGTTGCAATATTGTCGCTAGAATTTGTCCATAGGAATTCTTGCGGCCAATAACGAACAAAATAGTGCCTACGCATTCACACTAATTGTTCTGAGGCTGTTATAGACATTTTAATTGTTCCTGATTCTGTGAACAAATCTGTGAATTTTTAAATGACTTTCACCGGCGTACACCGATTTTCACCGGTTTGGGACCCCTTGCCAAAATCTGAGTGTACCCACACGGTGAAAACGGTTCCTGGTTTTCCCACGAACTCCCTGGAAATCGCCTATGCCTGCACCATCGGCTTCCTGAGAAAACCAGGTTCCGTTTTTAACGTGCACTGAATATGCTCCCTTGTGAGCACATGCCGAACAGTGACACGTCGCATGAGCCACTGCTAATTTTGATGTTCGACAGGATGGAGTACCTGGAGCGCGTCGTCAAGGAGACGCTGCGCATGTTCCCAGTGGGCCCGCTGATCGCGCGGCAGTGCCAGGAGGACTGCGAGGTGGCCGGCAAGCGGATCCCCGCCGGCACGGTGCTCGTCCTCAACGTCATCGGCGCCCACCGCGACCCGCGGCACCACCCGGACCCGCTGCACTTCGACCCGGACCGCTTCCTGCCCGAGCGCGCCAAAGACATGCACCCCTTCAGCTTCGTGCCCTTCAGCGGGGGGCCCAGGAACTGCGTCGGCCAGCAGTACGCCATGATGCTGCTCAAGACACTGACCGCGGTCATCTTGCGGGCGTACCGCATCCTGCCGGCCAGCGACGGCATCACGCAACCCAGCCAGTTCCCGATCACTTTCGACATCATGCTGAGATACGTCAACGGCGTCAAGGTGCGCTTCGAGCATCGCGAGGGCCACCACAAAGACGCACATAGACATTGAAAAAAGAACTAGAACTCGGCAAAGCCGTGAAGGGTTGATGAGTTTTTTTTTTCTGTGCTTGACACTCCCCTCTTTTAAGGCACGAAGTAGCCATTATTGTATCCCTCGGGTTGCAATCTTTTTCTCCAATGTGGCCTCTTTTGGAATTTCGAAAATTTCTATACGATTTAGACAAGACTTGGCACATGTGTAGAACTTCGTACCGTGAAATCAGTGCTGAAGTGTGGTTGTTTCAGGAAGGAATCTCAACAGTTTCGGAGATATTCCACCTATAAGTTCTCAATGTCAATTTTGTGGTAAACATGCAAGTTGTTATGTTTTCCCTACGTACGTATGGAACGAAACTTGCTCACATCAGAGCCATGGAGATTCAGAAGGATTCAAAAAATCTAGGAAGGACCCCTGTAAGCCGTAGGGGCCGTTCACTATTTACGTTACGCTGTTTTGAGTACTTCTTGACCTCCTCCACCTCCTTCCCCCTGTAACGAAGCGTTACGCTGGCCTCCTCCAAAGCGTAACGTCACGCAAAATGTCTAAAAATTGTTTGTGTCATCTAATAAAAATAAATTCAGAGGTCTGAGGGTTTTTGATCAACGAAGCGGAAGAAGGGAATAATTCAACTTATCTCCCTATTGAGTCTTTGTAATGTCATTGTGCCTTAAAATGGTTTGCATCGTTGCACCAAATTATTTAACTCGATCCTTAGGGGTCGTCCATAAAATTCGTAAAGCCCTTAACAGGAAAGGTGGTCGGTGCCTTTCTTTCTTTCTTTCTTTCTTTTTTTTTTTTTTTTTTGGGGGGGGGGGGGGCAGCGGGCTTGATGTATGGCGGTGTGCAAATATTACGTCGTCACTTTGGGGGGGAGGGGTACGGCCTCTGATCACGGTCCCAGCAATAAAGGATAAAATCCACTTCGAAAAAGATCACTCAGATTGACCCCTTTCACTCTCTCAATGGACTGCACAAAATTGAGCATGCGTTTCGATATGCACGCATGTTATGCGCAACGACGCCCACTTTCGTGATTAGTTACGCAAAAAGTCGTGCATTTCAAAACGCATGCTCAATTTTGTGCGACGCTTCTGCACAGAAAAGTGCTTAGTTTTGTGTGTTCGGAAGTACGGTTACTAGTGCTAAAATACTACGGTATAATTACGGTGGATGCTGGCTTTGCAAGTACGGTAAAGTTTAGGCAAAAAAAAATATCCAGGATAAACCGTAATTTTTTTTTTCAGAGTGTAGGCAAGGGAACATATCTTGGGATGAGTGAATAGTTCGTTACTGAGGCGGATCGAATCGGGTAAGACTCGGTTCGTAGTCAGCTTTTCAAGGTTTCCGGCGCGGATACAGGGGAAGGGGATGTGGTTTTTGCCCCCCCCCCCCATCAGCCCCTAACCCCATGAACGGTAAGCTAAAAAAGCTACTTTGCCCCTGTAAGTAGGCAAAGAGTGCCACTCCCACCCCCCCCCCCCCCCCCGCCTCTGGATCCGCCACTGCAAAGTTCGAACCCGATTATTCTAAATATCGAATCTTTGGTGGTTCGTCGTCGAACTAAGGTCAGAAGGGGGAAAAGGGGGGATAACCAATTTTATTGCCGGAAAAAAAAAACGAAAAAATAAAAAAAAAACAAATGAATGTTGCAGTTAAAAATTTTTAAAAACATTGTAAAATTCTGGAAAAAAATCAAAAGGTAAGGTCACCGTAAGGTTTTGCGACTTATCCTTTCCGTTGAAATGAAAACAAGTCAGCTCCCTTTATCCTAAAGGAGGTTGGAGACATAGTGGACTCTGCAAAATACGTCGTCACTTCCGGTGGCTCTGTCGGACCATAAGTTATCTTCAAAAGAATTAAATACCCTTCAAGTCGAATTAAATTTTTTCACTGCACGATTTATGCCAAAACCCCAGTTGTGATACCTTGCAATTGTCACAACGCAGGGTCACTTTGCCGTTCTGAATCTTTTTTTTTCGAAAGGTTATAGTTAAAATACTACCCTATTTTACTGTGCGATTTCATACAAGAGCCAGGAAAATCCATTAACTAATTTTTTCAATAGCGAAATCGGATGAGGATATCGTTCTGGGCGTAATGGGGTAAGCTGGTCGATCGCTTCAAGTTCGCGGATACAGAAGTTTCGTTTTAAACCATAAAATAACCATCGTTTAAAAGATGTTGCAGTTAAGTAGAACTGTCCTTAATTAACGTCTTGGATCCCCTGAAGTTGAAAAGATCTTCTAAATTTTGGGGTTCTCGTGGCAAAGAGTAAGTTAAAATAGAAATGACGAAATTAATTGGTTGTTAAGTTCGAAGTTATTCGATTCTGAATGCCTTGTTGCACGCTCCATTTTTTGTAAATTCGTTAGGAAGGAAACTCGCGTTGGCAAGTGAAAATTCAGTTAGTGTAAATTCAATCAGAAACATTGCAGATCGTTCGAAATGAATAATCCTGTGCATTGCGGGCGCTCCTTTCTTTCGCAACTGGTCCGGTCTGGTTGGAAATCGAGAAAAGATTGGGCCCAGTGTCGCCAAGTCGTCGGCTGAGTCACCCGTTGCATAACTTCAATTTCCTACGGGGTTTCTGAAACACCTGGTACAGTCGTCATGGAAGCGCGACGCACCGACGAGGTAAACGCTGTAGAAAAAAGGAACCATCCTTGTACGTTGTCCAACGGGACGAAAACAAACGTCATTGTTTCTTCTTTTAGAAACTCGCAGCTTGCAACAGATTAATTGTGCTGCATTGCTGCTTACTGATGAAGAGAGCCGCGGAGGCTGGTTGCAGTCAAGCTCCATCCGCGCTGCTGCGCGGTCCTCTCTGCCATGGCCGTGATGACCGAGGTGTTGGTGCTGGCCGCGGTGGCCGGCATCGCCATGCTGCTGTCACGCTTCCTGCTCGGCTACCTGCGCTTCAGGAAGCTGGAGATGGCCATCCCCGGTCCGCCCTCGCTCCCGCTCCTCGGCAACGCGCTGGACGTCATGAGGGCGACCCCGGACACGATCTTTCAGACTATCCTTGGTTTAGTCAAAGATTGCAGAAAGTTGAGCCGCGTGTCAATTTTTAGTCACATGATTATCGTGATCCAAGACCCCGCGGACATCAAAGAGCTCATGCGTCGCCCGGAGTTCGGAAACAAGGCCTTCTTCCTCTACAGCCTCCTCGAAGGCGCTGCGAAGAAGGGACTCGTCCAGCTGAGCGGCGCCGAGTGGAAGGCGCACCGCAAGTGGCTGGCTCCTGGCTTCAACCAGAAGGTCCTGGACCGCTTTGTGACCATCTTCTGCGAAGAGGCCAACGGCTTTGTGGACCGCGTGGACACTGACAAAGAGGTGGACGTGTTAGACAACCTGAGGAAAGCACTCATGCGGGATTTCCTCCGAACGTCCATGGCTGCCGAGGGCTCGCAGTTCGACGACGACCTCATGGAAGCCGTCGAGTTCATCAAAGTGTTCACGTACTCTGTCAACGCCCGCGCCTTCAACCCCCTGCTGTGGTCGGACCAGATATTCGCGCTGACTTCGCTGGGGAGGAAGGCGAGCAGGATGAAGGGCAGCTTTGATTTGGTGGTCAAGAGGCTCATCGCGGAGAGGCGGAAGCAACTTGGGAACCAAGAGAGCAACCACGACTCCGAGCGGGCACGGCAGACCCTCGTGGACATCATGCTGGAAAAGACCGACGTCGGGGACGGCAAGCATATGACGGAGCAGGACATCGTGGACGAGTTTAAAACCTTCATGGCCGCCAACGTGGAGACATCGATGTTCGTGCTGAGCATGGCGCTCAAGGTGTTGTCCTTGATGCCGGAGAGGTCCAGCACCTCGCCTACTCCGAAGCAGTCTCCGTTCTCGGCGTCAGGGACGTCACTTGCGAGGATCTGTCTAAGTAAGTAGACCGTAGACCCAAAATTACAAAGTTTGACTCGAAGTGGGTGTTTAATTTTTGATCAATAGGAAAGATCAATAAAATCAAAATATTGAATGGGCCCCGACCAATATTCGAAATTAATTAGTATATTCAAACGTTTCATGCGAAGGTTTTTTTTTTTAAAATAATGTATGTCTATCAAAGTGTACGTACACTCTAAATGTCTTACAATGAAATTTGAGTTGTGTTACAGTGAATTCAGCGCAAGCATAATACGAAGCAACATCTCTTCATAATACAAATATTTTTAGTATTTTTATTGCACGAAACGAAGGTAAACCTCTGTGTTATAGAGAAAAATTTCCTTCGTATTTTGCTTGCGCTATTTCCTTTGTACTATAAAAAATTACCTCAAGGCGTTTCCGAGTAAAACGTCGTATTTTGTCGTTTCCGGATAAAGAGTCGTATCTTAAATGCACCAGAATACGTTTGATCTAGAGCTATGAAAGAAAATGGATCATAATGTAATCTACATTAAACAGAAAGTGCCAAGGAGTTTTCTGTGGAAGCTTATGTATGCTCAAAATACTTCGTCATAACAAACTGCTTTTCTTTGTAAGGCATAAAATAGTAAGGTTTTCTCAGTCTGTACTTTGTAAAAATGAAGCATGGAAAGAGAACGAAAGAAGTATGAGGACACCACCAACCCCCCTGTTTTATGCTCTCTGCCATGGAATACCTCATTCCCGTCCATTTCTGATAGAATTCCTAAGCTATCTGGGAACGCATACAATCTGTCTCAAGGATGCGCTGAGAAAAGACCTTTTCAGTTGGACCCTTCGAATATGTCACGTTTCACCTTTCAACCCGACTGTCACTTTTGTCCCGAATAAGAACACGGTAAAAACGGTTCCTGGTTTTCCCAGGAACTCCCTGGAAATCGCCTATGCATTTACCATAGGCTTCCTGGGAAAACAAGGTGCCGTTTTTACCGTGAATATTTCCGAACTACTTTACCCTTTTCAGGCTCAAGTACCTGGATCGCGTGATCAAGGAGGTCTTGCGAATGTTTCCGCCTCTGCCGGTCGTCGCCCGGCAGTGCTACGCGGAGACCGAGCTGTGCGGGAACATCATCCCGGCAGGCTGCACCGTCGGAGTCGTCATCTACACAGCGCACCGCGACCCCAAGTACTGGGACAAGCCCGAGGTGTTCGATCCGGACCGCTTCCTTCCCGAGAACTGCAAGGACCGCCACCCCTACGCCTACATCCCCTTCAGCACGGGCCCGAGGAACTGCATCGGCGGCAAATACGCCATGATGAGCATGGCCACCTTCCTCGCCACCACGCTGAGGGCCTTCAAGGTGCTGCCCGTGGACGACCACAAGGACCTGCAGAGCCTCGCCGACAACATGACCTTCCACGTGACGGCCCGACTTGTCGGCGGAGTGCGACTCAAGTTCCAGGCCAGGGTTTAGGAGTACTGAGTTCGGCATAGGGTCAGTTGGGGTAATTATGGGACACGGGGTAAAAGTGGGACAGCTGATTCTTAGTCAAGAATCGAGATTTTAGAACTTGTGCCAGAGCAAATGTTATTTTTTCAACAAAAACGTTACATTCGGTACGTCATGCGTTCAAAAATATCAAACCTTGACTAAGAATCAGCTGTCCCATTTATACCCCGTGTCCCATAATTACCCCAACTGACCCTAAGGCATATGGAGCTTACGAGGAGAACTCCACACTCGAAGTGTGGAGACTGCCACGGTAAAAACGGTCCCTGGTTTTCCCAGGAACTCCCTGGAAATTGCCCATTTCCTTACCATAGGTTTCTTGGGAGAAACAGGAACCGTTACCGTGCGGAACCTCCAGCACTTCCAAGCTCGCGTGTTTGCATCGCCAAGATTTCGGCGATACTTTCCGGTATCGCCAAAACCTGGCAATAAACTAAGAGCTTCTCCCCTTGATTTCTTCAAAGTTTATTGCCAATCGTGGCAATACTCCAAAGTATCGCCAAAATTTGGCTACACATTTGTGTATCGCCGTTTTGAAGGCACAACTTTTCTGTAAGGCAATTTTTTGGCGATACTCGGTTGTATCGACAAAAACGTACTAAAAATATCACCTTCGGATTTACAATGTCCGTCTCCACCGGCACTGCTCGCCAAGAGCGGCGTGGAAATTAAAATGCTGATCCACTCACTCTGGATGTTTTTTACAATGAAATTCTTGTCCGTCGAAAGCCCTTCTCTCCGCTGCAATACTTCTTATAGTGCATTAAGATCCGTTCAGAAAGGGACAGACGGGTCTAGGATCCAAGGGGAAGTGATTTTTCTCATTGGAAGACCAGAATGGGTTTGCCGTTGGCGGTTTTGATGCAAACCCGCCCCGGATCTATTTGCCTGTCAGTTTCTGCGATTTGGGGCTCTCAGACCACTACAGATTCTGCCATTTCAATTTACTGTGTGCACCAAGTTCGTTTGTCACATTCATTCAAGCGTACGTGATGAGAGTGTACAACTTTTTAACTTTCATTGACGTTGTGATAGTCAGGGACAAGGAGAAACTCAAGTAAAGCAGACACGCTGAAATTCGAAGGGTGAGCCATCTCAGCAATTTTCGGCGGTGCTAAAATATCACCGAAAAACCGGTCGTACACGAGTGTATCACCGATTAAAAGGTCGTTCACGAAGATATGACTGAAAGCAAGTTACATACACATCAGCGATATTGGCTCTTGTTTTCCTGGGGAAGTATTATCCTTTCTCGGTGCTGATTTGTGTACGACCTTTTCTTCGGTGACCACCAAAGAATTGATACAATCAATACATTTGTGTACGACGTTGTTTTCGGTGATACATTCTAGTACTCATCACCCTTTTACAGTGAGACAGTTCTGTCTCAGCCCTCAGAGATTGCGATGTATCACTATTTGAATTTCAGTGCAGTAAGTATAATCTGATGTGATGATTCAAATTTGATGAGTGTGTGTAATTGGAAAACCCAGTCCATGTTGTGAACTATGATGAACCTTCTGACATAATAGCAGGCTCTAGTCACAGAATCGAATCCGAAAAGGAGAACATAAAGACCCCTTTGACAACTTCAGAGAAGTTAAAAAAAATTCACTCCGTTTAATAGTGGGAAAAGGTTTTAATGGATAGCAAGATAACAAACTAGAACTCCGATTGTGAATGAAAGCACATATGTGTGCTGACATTTGGTATTGGCCAAACACTGCGAGCTGGACATCAGACAGTGGGAATTAAAGAGCTAACTTAACATGTCAAACAAGTCTGTGTTTTAACAATGCCACGAATAAAAAAAAAAAAAAAAAAAAAAAACAAATCAGTAATTTGGTTGTCCGTGACATCAAATTATAGTGATTGTATCTAATTATGATTGCTGCAACAAATCTATGTCATCAAATTAATAATTATGTCCAACTGTGACTGCCACTACGAAATCTGTGTAGGACTACATAAAATTACTCACTTTAATTTGTGAAGACATTACCATAGTTTCATCCTTTGGAAAGGGTCGTCTTATTTAAAAATTACATCCAAGAACCATCGCTGCATACCATACAAGCACAGAATGCATCTTGACACGTTCTGTGCACGACTGGAAGAAGAACAAAGCACTAGAGCCAACAGAACTGGCAGTAGAAACTAATAGGGACTAAAGAAGCATGACAAAAATGAAACAATTAATTGTGAGGTTAAAGAACGGATAGAAAAAAATCGTCTTTCCAGGTGAAGTCTCCCAGGGGTGGATATGCAGGGCACTCTTCATCACAATCCTCGCACATCACCTTCACAATTCTGACCGGCTTCTCCGAGTCCGTCGGCACTAGTTTGTCCCAGACTGGACTGCTTCTGCCGTTGGCACGACTCTGCCGCGTGGGGAAGCTTTTGGTCACGGTAGCGTGGAGCGGGTCCACGCATCAGCACAACGCGCCGCAGCGCCACCAGCCCGCACTGGCGCAGCCCCTCGGCCAGGTCCTTGAAGTGCAACAGACCGTCTCCCTCGGACGCGCACAGAATCCGCAGCTCCTGCAGTGTGGCGGCGTGGGCCTTGGCCAGGGACAGGACGGTGGAGGCCGGCCGGAGGTACACACTGAGCCACTGCAGGCCGCAGTGACCCGCGGGCAGAGGGGGGAACGCCACGTCGAGCGCACCGTGCTCGTACCAGTTCAAGACGAGTTTCCGCAGCCTGGGCATCCGCTGCACCGACTGGAGGTGTTCCACTGAAACGTTCCGCACCTCCAGTTCCTGCAGTTGAAGCGGCAGGTCTGGGGCATTCTCGACGGAGTTCCTCAGATGGACGTACAAGCAGCGCAGCGCTGGCATGTCCCTGATCACCTCGAGGTGTTCCCGAACGGCGTTCCCAGTAATCAGCCACTCGACGCGTGGCGCAACGCGCTTGAGCAGCGCTGTACTCCAGTTGGGCCGCTCCATGCAGTCCAGTCCGCTCAGCTTCCTCACCTGAAACACGTAAGCGCACTTCGCGTTACAAACTGTCACACGCTTAATATTTTTGGCCATATTTTGTACGAGACATTGCAGATTTTTAGTGCCGATGAACATCTAGTACAAAATTGTACGTGGTTTTCCACGACGCTAGAAGAAAGCGCAGATTTCTAATAGAATGTCGCACAAAAAGTTCGTAAAAAAATGTTTGCTCTCGAACGAAATTGTACGTTGCGTATAGCGCAGGCCTTCCGTTGTTTGAGAAGACTTAGATTAGCCGTGCGTATCTGCAAGGGTCAACCTTGCCACAAGAAACGAAAACACTCTTACCTTGTCCAGGCCTGGGTTCTGCAGGGATTCGTTCAGCTCTTGGGTGTGCTCTTTTTGAGTGCTGAGTTTCCCCACATGCATACACTCTTCCGGACGGAAGATCTGGAAGCATTACGGACACATTTTGAGGGCAAGACAATGAAATCATGTCCTGAGATTTCTGACTCAAGTACTGACAAAAAGTTACAAAGTCATTCTTCTAGTTTTGCAATATTTATAAGCTTCAACCGCCCACCAAAATTTCAGGCTAAATAAAACTGCTATGTAAGGGGGCAAGCAACTGAAAATGGCCAAAATCTGACTAGCACGATTGCTTCTACATCTGTCGCTCCGCGCCGATCGAACTTCCGGAAGTCCTCGAGCAAAGAAGCATTTTAAGCTAGAAGGGCGTCGATCCGACGTTAGGGTGCGGAGCAGCTGCTAATCTAAGTTTTGTCACAATTCCAACTGGTCGAAGTCTCTCGGTCCGCAAAAAATGAAGATATTCCAACCCCGTTTGCGCCAAAGTGTGGGTAATTGAAGTAGCTTTCCCATGAACCACAACCATGAACATTAGGCTTCTGAAAGGACAAAATGTTACGAAAAAAACTTGTTTTAATAGTTTTTGCAAAATCCCAAAGAATGCTTTTCGGATGAAATTTTTATCTTTAAGTTGATCTTTGCTCATGGTTGTAGTTCATGCGATTGCCACTTCAATTACTTACATTTTGGCGCAAACGGGGTTGCGATATTTTCATTTTTGCGGACTGAGGTACTCCCATCAGTTCGATTTTGGACGAGAATTTGCTTGGCAGCTGCTTCGCTCCCCGACGTCCGATCCCATTCTAGACTTAATATGCTTAATGTGCGAATCAAGGATTTACATATCGAATCGAATCTAAACAAAAGTTTCGAACACGACTCGAATCTAGAAAAAGTTGTCGAACCGAATCGAACTTTTAAAGGTTCAGAATAGAATCGAATCTGAATTGAAACTAAGAAAATTAGTGTGTGTTACGAAAAACATTTACAGCAATAAATGAAGGACATAGAGCAAGAACACAAAAAGAAAAGAAATCAAATATCTGATCTTGCTGTGGTACAACGCTATGCGCATGACTTTCAACCGTTCCCGAGAACCACTGTCGATTCGAAAATTTCGAATATTCGGGGTCGAAGCAAACAGATCCGTCCTCGAATAGAATCGCCCCTGATTCGTTTCGAAACCGAACTATCCGCACATCCGTCACGACGTGGAGCGACAGGTATTGAAGCAATCGCCTGGGTCAGTTTTTGGCCATTTTCAGCTGCTTGCCCTCTTAAGGGGGGACCCTGGTGAAACTTTCAAGTAGGCTTCAAAAAAATCCCAGGAAGTTGAAACTTTGCTTTATTATTAGGTTCATTATGGTGAGTTCCCAAAACAAAATTCAATCCAAAATGTTGAACGGTCTCTGAAAAAAGTGGCTTTTTAGTGTTTTTTGGAGCGTTGGGGAAAAATCTTCCTGCGTCTTTCATTGGGACGGAAAGTCTTGAAAATTTTTTTGGGTTATCCTAAAGATGTATAGAAGAGATTTTAGTGACGGAATTTTCAAATTCAACTTCTGTCCTGAGATATGAGTTTTCAAATTTTAACATTAAAAAAAGTGATTTTTTTCCCTTTTTTCAAACTTTTAGGTGTGTTTTTAAAAAAGTAGGGCTGATATCAAGATTCCGTCACTAAAATTTGACGACAAGTCATCAATGATTAGAGTCCATGCAAGACGACTCACGACTCATGTAGGTGTCAACCAGGAACGCAGGAGGTCTTTCTACGACAAATTTTTTTGTCGACTGAGCAAAGCTGTGAAGTTGAGCGTAGAAGCCAACAACAACTGATCTCAATGTTATTTCCTTCCAAAAAGGTAAAGAAACTACCCACTTAGCTTAAAGGTGTTCAACCTGTTGAATCTGAAACCTTCTATGCACATTTTTATCTATGAACTTTGAAAATACAATTTATTGGAATTTTGGCGATTTTTTCACCAGAGTCCCCCCTTAAAAGGTGGGCTTCTATCACGTGAAACACCCATATGAATTTTGTGGCACTCGAAGCTGCCGAATTCTTCACGTCAAACTGTGGAAAGGGTTCCAGAACGTACCTTGGTGAGGCTCCAGTCCTGGTGCATCTGCAGCACCAGTGGGCAAAGCAAACTGCGTCTGGAGCCCGGAGCCGCCACCTGCAGTTGGCCCTTCCAGGTGGAGCAGGGCGAGTCCACCTGCAGCTGCAGCTGGCACTTGGCCTGGAGGAGGGTGGTGGCGTCCTGCAGCAGCTGTTCCAGGCCCCCCTCCAGTGTAGGCTCCTCCAGGTCCCGGCCCTCGTCCGCCGCCGCCCACAGCTCCTTCCTGGCCTCCTCGACGTGCTGCAGCCTGCCACTCCACTGCTCCAGCTGGGCCTCCAGCACGCCCTTGGCGTCCAGCAGGGCCTTCACCACCTCGCGCGCCGACGTCGCCGCATTGTCCAACTGTAGCAGTTTGGGGGCGGCCTGCTCTGTGCGCAGCTGGCGGAGGGAGCACACGGAGTGGCCCGAGTCCTCGCAGTCCTCCGCGGCATCCTCGTCGCAGTCTCGGCACCACAACCTGCGCAACGCACAATGTCGTATCCTATGTTTTTGAGGTTGCCGATGACGAAACTAGAACCCATTCGGACCCTCGACCCAAAGTTAAGTCCCATTAGTGTGGATCTTGATGACCAAATGCTATTTTTTGAGGGGATCACGTCCATTTCTTCGGTCTGTCTAGCAAAGCAGCCTGCCGAAGGCAGGTTAGCGCCGCAGGCCAAGGTAGGTGTATACGCCAGGCGTGGATTGTCGAAACCGGCGCAGCATCGCGAAGCCTGTCACGACAAGACACGATCTGGCGTACACCTTCCTTGTATAAATTTCTTTGCATATAGAAATAAGTTTACTTGAACCTTTCAAAGAAATTTTCTGTTACAAATGTATCTATCTGTTTCAAGACTCAATGGCTTTATACAAATGTTATGTTCGCTACCTAAGAATTTAAGACTTTCTGTAACATATTATCACCACTTTACCCATAGACTTACAACGCTTATGGACGATAGTCGTCGGCGAGTGAGGAACACAAAGAATCACAAAAACCGGAAATAGAGCAGGCTATTTCACTCACGTTTGAGTGAGTTTATTTAGGAGAGCACGCTCTCCAAATCTATTAAGCATGTGCCAAATACCTTTTGAATGAGGACAGCAACATATTTGTGGGCATTTCTCCTGTAAACAAGGGTCGCTACCTTCCCCCGATCCACTCTATTCCTGGTTTTGTGATCCTACTTGTCCTTTGAGTCAACGGCGACTAGGAAAGTCTATTCTACGTAAACTTGCAAAGATATTGTTTCGATGACAATGACCCTGTTTTCTTTGAAGTTAGCAAAGAAATTCTGTGAATGGCAATGACATTCATCTGAACACACTAAATGTTTAGGTAGAATTTTGTGCGTGCAGCTTGCACGATTTTGTGCTTACGTGAAATTTGCATAATATCATGCGTAAAAATGCATTAATTTATGCGAATTCACGCACAATTTTATGCACGACGGTACACAACTTTAAAATTATGCATCACCACGTACAAAATTGTACCTAAACATTTAGTGTGAAGCTTCTTCAAAGTTTACGGCATTTTCTCAGCGGCAGCTTTGCTACTCACTTGCGACTTGAAGTGCTGCTGCTCATATTGTTGGTTTCGGGACACGAAGGCTCCTCCTTGACGGTCACGACCTCACACTCCATCGCCAAGCTGCAAATTGTAACAAACACCGCCTTAGGAGAGAAACTGCGAAGGTACGGAACCCATAAGAGGCACCAAAGCGTTTGCAACCGTACCTATCCGTTGAGGATCCTTCTTGCCGCTGAGAAGGACTGCTACTGCTTCCCTGCCTGGACCTCTTGCTGGCGTCACTGGCAGGGCTCGTCTGCGCTCTCTTCTTGGGGGGCATTCTGCTGCAAGAGGTATAGTCTTGATTAGGATTCTACACTCCGGCGCTTCAACGCACAGTGATAAGCTACGAGCAGGCGGTCAAAATTCTAGACGCGGTTTGAGCTCTAGAGTCGCTACATGGGACTCCACTGAAAATCCAAACGCAATGAGAATACTTATGGCGTCCATTGGTGCAATGCATTTGAAGACGTTTTCATTGCACGTGAAGTGCAATGCCTTCCCATGCATTAGCATAGGGCATTTTCGGGGCGCATTGCACGTAAGGTGCAATATGGCCATGGCATTGCACGTATGATGCAATATCTCAATGCATTGCACCATACATGCTATACTCATAGCGTTTGGAATCTCAGTGTAGAACCGAACAGAATGTGTGGTGACCTCACCAGTGCACTTCGTTCGGAGAGGAATCCAATGGTAGGATCTCACGATCGGTTCCAGTCGCATTTAGCGACTATGGAGCTCTAAACGCGTCCCGAATTTTGGCCGCTTCCGAAAATTTGAAAATAACTTTGGTAGGTTGCCTACCGTCAAGGCGCAACACCCAATACGGTTTAGACTTCTTTCGTAATTTGGAAAATCCAGCGAACGAAAATTCACACAATTCTTGATTTTAACATAACTTTTGCCATTTTGGGAGCATAATAAAACGCTTTATTGGCGAGCCAAGCGGTGAAATTAATTGACGGGAATCAGCAAAACCTGCGAGTGAAGCGAGCTAGAAGCAAAAATATCAAAGTTCAGGAAAAATTATTTTGTTTTTATGGAATGTTAACTTGCAATCGAGGGGGAAGGCGGTAGGAGAGACAGTCGGAGGTCTCTTCTATCGTGGCGGCAGCTCCTCGTGCTCTTCCCCTGGGGTTGGAGGCGGCATGTGCTTGTGGTGCTTGTGCTTTGGCCTTGCTTTTGATTAATTAGATGCCTGCCTCCTAGCTAAGAACGCCGAACGCGGTACAGGTGTGGGATGGAAGTGGGGTGTGCACTGCCTGCACATGCCATCTCCATCGCACACGCGTACGCACGGGCTACCGTGCCGTGCTTTGTCGGAGGGTGGCCAATTCAGCATACCCTGCTTGTGTCATGCTTGGTTGCTTGCTTCCTGTTCTTTTGCTCCTTCCAGCCGCCGCTGCCGCGCATGCCCGCCACCGGATTACGCGCGTCATCGACGACCCCTCCTCAACGCCGAATGATACCAAGGCAGGGTGGCAAGTTCAAACCCCAGGCCGCGGGTAACATATCGGCATGGAGAAATTCTCCATGGTGTCGGTAACGGCAATAAGTACGGTACAAGCGGGGGGAGCCCTGTTTGGAGGAGGGGTGCGAGCGACACTGCCTGCGACTGATGCCTGCTTCCCTGTAGCACGATGCTTCGAACGCTCTCATTGCTCACACTTCATCGCCATGCAAAATGTCACCACTAGGCTGCAAGCTTATACTGCACGCACGCGCACCTACACATGCAATGCCACCCCCACCCCCCTTCTGCTGCCCCACGAAAGACCCTTGTCCTCCCGCGGTGAAGCGGGGGGAACCAGAGCGCGCTGCGGTGGCACGTGGCGATGGTGGTCAAGCAACCCCTGGCCCCACTAATCAATTTCCTTGCAGGAGAGCTTGTCAGGAGTTGCCCGTACCAGCGGGCGGCCGTAGTGCCACTTAACAACTGGTTCGGTCCGGGGGGCCAATACTCCAACCCCTTGGCGCTCATAACAAATAGAACACTGTTAGCTCGGACGCAAGGCGCAACGCACGGCTGGTGTCGAGGCACGGGCCGGGCGGGGCGAGGCGGCTGAGGTGGCAGCGGGAGCGTGGGACTGGGGCGATAAGCTAAAAATAATAATAATAATAATAATAATGGAATGTTAACTTGCAATCGAGGGGGTTAATACAAAAACCGTGTATTACGCGTAATACACGTGAACGTAGTACCATTTTGTGATTAAACTTGGGCTCAGCCCGGCTCAGCCTTCAGTTTTGACTCCTCCTAGTTTACCCCCCACAGGACAAGGTGGGTGTACGCCAGACCACATTGACAAATCAGCGCGGGAACTTTTTGTTATTAGAGGATTTCTAGCTTATTGACAAATTTGTCAATAACTATTGACTCATCAATTTGTTAGTAGGTCTATTGACAAAAAAAAGTCAGTACGAGACTGAGAGTGATGCAGGCGGTGGGAGGAGCCCTGCAACGATCATAGGAAACCGAGGGGGTAAACACTCGCGTAATACCCTGAACACAAAAACCGTGTAACCCGCGTAATACACGTATTAGGGTATTTCGGAGCAGCCCTGGCCCGGAAGAAGAAGAACAAAAACGGAAGGTTTGAAATGGCAGTTTTTATGAGTAATATACGCTGCGGATGCTCATCTGGAGCGTATATTTCTCATAGAAACTGCCATTTCTAACTTCCGTTTTTTTTCTTCTTCTTCCGGGCCAGGGCTGCTCCGAAATGCCCTATTGTAATACCATTTTTGGGATAAGTATGCCAAATTTTGGCATTTTAGTGCCGTAATACACGTGTAATGCCCCCGTAATACAGCGTAATACCGCGCAATACCGAGTACTCTGTACACGATTTCGTGGAGTGTTTACCCCCTCGTAGGAAACGTTATCAGATTTTGAGTAAACTCCTAGTACTGCAGCGGCTTCGTGAGACCGAACCAACACACACACGCGCTCACACACTAGAGTGTTACGCAGCGTTACCCTCAAAATGTCACACGAAGAGAGTTCCACGAAGGGAAATAGAGCAAGAGGCCGTCCTTAAAAAAATTAACGCTTTTTTTACCGTTTTACCCCCCCCCCCCCCCGTTCTGCCCAGAAACGCAGCGTGACGCTGCTTGGGAACCCTCCCCCCTCCCTCGGTACGTTACGGTAGTGATTGGCGACAACGGTGGCGATCTGGCTCCCCCTGCTCTACAAATCCAAAAGCGTACGTTGCACACTCTACCTGGAGCATGCCTGCAAAGCACGCTCTAGCTAGCGCATGCCTGCCAAGCATGCACTTGCTAGTGCATACGTTCCATGTACACGCTTCCTGATGCAGAGAACTCCCTATCCCTTGTGCACTAGATGCATGCTTCAATAAGCGTGTACTTGGCATGTATGCACTGGGAAGTGCATGCTCGGCAGGCATGCGCGAACTAGAGCGAGCGTGCTTGCAGGCATGCTCCAGGTAGAGCATACAATGTACGCTTTTGGATTTGTAGAGTGAGTGGCGATTTTGGAGACCCTCTCTGTGAGTGTGCACGCTGCACTGTTGGAGTAAAGCGGTGGATTTTCGCCCCGAGTGAGACTTGATCTGCAAGGCTCCCGGCGACGGCCGGCCCACTGTGGGCCAGAGGACTAGTGGAGGCGGCTGAAACTCTCGACGCGTTTCGAGCTCCAGAATCACTGAACAGGACTTAAGTCAAACGTGTGACCCCACCAGTAAATTCCTCGTTCGGAGAGCAATTCATTGGTGGGGTCACACGTTCGGTTCCAATATGGTTAGCGACTGTGGAGCCCACAACGCGTCGAGAATTTTGGCCACCTCCACCGGTCTTCTGGCCCACAAACTAAAAAACCAAATGTGTCCTTCGTGCACAGGTGTGGGAGTGTACTTAGAGGCACGCATTCATCTCACCCAATTTCGAAAGCACTCTCCTCTAGATGTGAGCTTGTCCAAGAGATGCGTGCTTCGAAGTACAATCCCACTGCTGTGTTCTAAGCACAAATTGGACCTTGTAGAGCATTTGAAAAAACAAGAACTCGCAACACAGTCAGATGTGCAAAGGACAAAAAAAGACCCATGGGTCAACTTTGAGGGAAGCTCAAAAAATCGCACCGTGCAGTAGTTTTAAAAGGTTTTAATGTTTCGTAAGACAACAAACGAGTGCCACATCTTGAATATGGAATCAAAGCTTTGTGTTCACAATCGACATCCAAAAATTAAGACTTTAACACACGTCAAACTGAACGTCAGGCTGTAGGAATTAAAGAGCTAACCAATCATGACAAACAAGGTAGTGCTTTAACAGAACTAACAATGCCACGAATCAAACAAAAAATAAGACACAGCAGTCTGGTTCTCCCCCACCCGATCAATCACTAAACAAGTCTAATTACGGGTCCGTCCGAAACGACGACATCTGTACAGAACGACATAAAATCACGTTAAATAATAAGGAGGTAAGAAAATATAATAAATCCTTCTTGGGGGTATAGTTTTACATACGAGAACAATCGTTCCATACGCTCTCGTTCTAGAAACGCGACATCACGCTTAAACGAATGTGACGAAGTGGCACGTTTCTTTGAGCGTGGCGTCCCATTCGTTTGGATGTGAATCAGCCACGAATAAGCTTATTCGCATTCAAACGAATGTGATACGATGCTCAAAGGAACGGGACACTTTGACACATTCGTTTGAACGTGATGTCACGTTTCTGAAACCAAAGTGTGCCATAGAAACATCGATGCGCACGATCGGATCGAGGACAATTCAGCATTACAGCCATGGCACCAGGACGGTAGTAAATTAAGAACTAAACAAGCGTGCCAAACACGAATCAATTAGCTGTGGGGTTTTTTAAAGGGATCCAAATGCCAGGATTCGAAGTAAAATATAAAAGAGAAAGACTCTCAATGGAGACAAAGCACTGGATTAAGCGTCTTTCCAGGTGAAGTCTCCCAGAGGCGGAAATGCGGGGCACTTGTCACACTCCTCGCACACGACCTTCACTACCCTGACTGGCTTCTCCGAGTCCGTCACCAACAGTTTGTCCCAGATGGACTTCTTCTGCCGTTTGCACGACTCTGCCGCGTGGGGGAGCTTCTTGTCAGGGTAGCCTGGAGCGGGTCCCCGCATCAGCACAACGCGCCGCAGCGCCACCAGCCCGCACTGGCGCAGCCCCTCGGCCAGGTCCTTGAAGTGCCACGGATCCTCCCTCGGACGCGCACAGGATCCGCAGCTCCTGCAGTGTGGCGGCGTGAGCCCTTTGGGCCCGGGACAGGGCGGTGGAGGCCGGCCGGGGGTACACCCCAGCCACTGCAGGCCGCAGTGACCCGCGGGCAGGGGGGGGAAGGCCACGTCGAGCGCACCGTAGGGGCACCAGTCCAAGGCGAGTTTACGCAGCCTGGGCATCCGCTGCACCGACTGGAGGTGTTTCACTGAGACGTTCACCACCTTCAGTTCCTGCAGTTGAAGCGGCAGGTCTGGGGCGTTCTCGACAGAGTTCGCCAGATGGACGTGTAAGCAGCGCAGCGCTGGCATGTCCCTGATCACATCAAGGTGTTCCCGGACGGCGTACTCAAGGAAGAGCCACTCGACGCGCGGGGCAATGCGCTTGAGCAGCGCTGTACTCCAGTTCGGCTGCTCCTCGCAGATCAGTCCGTCCAGCTTCCTCACCTGAAACACGCAAGCGCACTCCGCGTTACCACCTGTCACACGCTGTTGACAAGCTTAATGCTTCTGTCCAAATTTGGTACGAGACGTTACATTTTTTTTAGGGCAGATGAACTTTTGGTACAAAACTGTACATGGGCCAACCTTGCCAAATTTTGGCAAGCTGGGGAGCATTTTCTGGCCAAGCTTGCCAATTTTTGGCATTCAAAACGGCTTGCCAAATTTGTGGCAAGTAAACTTACCACCGGCTTTGCAGTGTAGCTGCGAGAATGACCCTTGCTATAATATAAACGAAAACACCCTCACCTTGTGCAGGCCTGGGTTTTGCAGTGTTTCGTCCAGCTCTTTGGTGTGCTCCTTTTGCTTGCTGAGTTTCTCCACATCCATACACTCTTCGGGACAGAAGATCTAGAAGCAGTGCGGACACATTTAGAGGGCAAGACAAAGAGATCATACCTATAGATTTCTGACTCGAGTTTTAATAAAAAGTTCTTCTAACTTAACAATATTTTTAACCTCCGTGAAGGTGGCCTGACCCATCAATCCCGCCCAAGTCCGACCGTATGTTTTTGATTGTTTTTCGTTTGTCTAGGTTTGTTTAGCGTTTGTTTCGCTTCTGGATTGTATCCCGACCCGGATTTCAAGGACCCCCAAATCGCCGAAGAAGTTGGCCCGACCCACTTTAACCGTGAGTCCTAACTTAACGCCGGTTTGTTATTTCGACTCGAAATCGTTAGTTTACGTTTGTTTTGCCAAAAGTTTAGCTCTCGGAAGAGCCAGTTTGGTCATAGAAGCACGGTTCCTATACGTAAAAACAGTGGGTGGGGCCAGATACCCAACGTGTGGTTATAATCAGATGCGAAGTACCAAACCTTGAATTCAGGTTAAGAGCGATCTGTTTCGTTAAGTTTTGCCCTAAGATGTACAACTTTTACGTTGAAAGTGCATTTCTCCATTATTTAGAATTCGTGGTTCGGGCCACGTTACCCAATTAAAGTTACAATCAAGCGCGGAGTGCCAAACCTTAATCTTAGGTTCAAGACAGTGAGTTTCGAAAAGTTTTGCCCTAAAATGAACTACTTTTACGTCCACGGTGATTTCGTTTTCAATTTCAAAATCGTGGGTTGGGCCAGGTTATCAACGGGTAGTTTTAATCAAACGCGAAGTACCAAACATTGCATCGAGGCTAAGAACGATAAGTTTCGATAAGTTTTCCCCTCAGATGAAAAAAATTTACGTCTACGGTGATTCTTTTTTTTATTTCAAGGTCGTGGGTTGGGCCAGGTTACTAACTTGTAGTTATAATCACACGTTATGTACCAATCATGTAATTTCGGTTAATAACGATCTGTTTCTTTAAGTTTTGCCCAAATATGAACAGCCTCTACGTTGAAAGTGCATTTGTCCTTTATTTAGAATTCGTGGTTCGGGCCACGTTACCCAATTGAAGTTACAATAAAGCGCGGAGTGCCAAACCTAACATTGAGGCTGAGAACGATAAGTTTCGTTAAGTTTTCCCCTAAGATGCACAACTTTTACGACTACGGTAGTTATTTTTTAAATTTCAAGGTCGTGGGTTAGGCCAGGTTACCAACTTGCAGTTGTTATCACACGCGAAGTACCAAACCTTTAAGTTTTGTTAAGAGCGATAAGTTTCGATAGGTTTTGCCTAAAAATGAACT